CAGACAGCATAGGAACGTGCACTCGAGGCACGTGGTTTTGATCAGTAGCCATATGTATACGTGTATACACACGTTTTTGGACATACTTTACCATAGCGTAGCATCAACATGACCTTGTGCCGTGGTGCAGATTGATTGCTTAAATGCAGGTCCAATAGGTTCAAGCCGTCAGCTTCTTCATGTGCATCTCCCACATCACCCACTGGGGCGTGTGTTCGGGGAATTTTTGGCCCAAGTCTCGCAGATCCAGTCGGAGAGCCCCGGTTCCCAGGAATGACGGGGCCGGCAGGCTTGGTGGCCAAGCGAGCGGCCCTGGAGCGGGCTGCCAACAAGCAGCCGCCACCACCTGTGCGCATCTATTTGCGCCCCGGCATTTGGGGGCTTCCCAGAACAGGGATATGTGGAGTTTGCAAAGAAATTTCGGGGTCCCTGTCACAGATTGTGTGGGCTTAACGTTCAGAAGCTCCCGCATTGGAACTCTGAAGAAGTGTATATAAGGATCAGATTGTACGGGGACCTGACGGGCAGTGTATGCATGCGGATCATGATTGCTTATGGTTTTGTGTTGTGAAATTCCATGCCGTTCTCATGATGGCGAACTATCTTTTGTGGTAACAGCTTGTAGGTCTGAGTAGACGTGGTGACGTAAGGGGCGGTCCTTAGCAAATTGCCAACTATACGTACTGTACCCGGTAGGCGATGTCAAAGGACCGACATCCACGGCTCGTCAGCTAGCCGAGGTATGGCAAAATCCAGGATCCAACCTTCCAGTTGCTGAAAGCTGCAGTAGACTACTTGTCTTCGGAGAAGGAGACCGTGGAGGCCACTGTGGAAGGCTTCTTCGAGACGCAGTATGAACAGCACCTTAAGCATCTTGTGGCCAACTATGGTGGGAGTTTTTCCCAAGCCAAGCCCAGCGCGCCACTCATCTTCGCAGAGGCGGAAGACAAGATCATGTACTTTGCCTCAGAGAAGACCTTTCTGGACTGGGCTGCCTTGACCTATAAGTACGAGGACAACACAAACTTCATGCTCTATAGGCGCGTGGGAAACAAGTCCATCAAGGCTGTCAAGGAGCAGACTGGCCGATCCTATTGTGCCCTTACCATCGCTATCGGAGACGAGCCCAAGGAGACCGTTCAGCTCGAGCTTTTCGACGACGAGGCTCCAGAGCTGGCGAAGAATTTCATCCAGTTGCTCTCTCAACCCAAGTTCGACGGCCATCCCATCCACCGGGTTAAGCCAGGGTGCTGGGTTCAGGCTGGTGACCTCGTAGATGGCTCGGGCAAGCACTCTGAGGCTGCTGCTGGCGGCCAGCTGAAGCATGAGTCCTTCCATGTGCCGCATGACCGGCCAGGGCTCCTGGGCATGTGCTGCCACGGCAAGGACTATCCTTTCAAAAGAAGGCTGCCTAGGCGGGTTCTTGAGCCATGCTACGGCATTCGTATACCCTATGCATAAGGCCCATGACCATGTGGTTGTTACTTCAGTTGTAGTGTTGACCTTTGCGCGCTTGACAAGGACACCATTGGATCCCAGTTTTACATCACATTGCGGGAGCTGCCGTTCCTGGATGGCAAGTTCTGCGTTATTGGCAGGGTCATCAGCGGGATGCGCACCATTATCCGCATTGGCAAGATGGCGACAAAGAACGACCGTCCAACCATAGATGTGAAAATGTACGTCGACAAGGAACTGACAATGCCTTCGGCACTTCAGCAAAAGTGAAGATGCCCTTGTTTCACAGCATGCATCAGGAATGCCAGCTGACACATCTTGCTGTACTAGCAAGCTGCGATGGGGAGCGGAACATGCGCACCGTTGCATCTCGAGGTTACACAACTAATCTATGGCAAGTATTCTGATCCTGGATTCATGCACCCTCAAGCATGCAGATTGCCAAAGATTCACGTGCTTCCTGTGTTGTCATGCTTCATCGTCTCACCTGACGTTAACATGTGAATTCGAAAAAGAAACATCGCGGTCAGTACGCCAGAACTAGACACAAACCCCTGTGTCACAAGATTGCATGCGGCCGAGTTCTGCAAGAAGTCTTGCTTAGAATGGCAGGCTCGCAGCGCGTGGTCCTCAAGTCCTACTTCTACGACCGGATGCCGGGGCCTCCAACCTTCCCATGCTACGAATGTGGGGCCCAGCAGGACAACCTAATTTTATTGACAACGTTTCAGAGTCATATATTTGCGGCGAAAATTCAACAGTGCTTAGACGCAGCAAGTTAAGTTTCTGGAAGACCCCTCAGAGCTTGGAGAGCAGGACATTATGAAAGCCAGAACTCCAGTACACTGCCTGCTTCTGCATCTGTTGCAGGTTCCCTCCAGCCCCTGAGCCCGCCAATCATGTGCCCTTGTTCTTCAGGCGCGATGCTTCGGTCATCGCCCCGGGCGTGCTTTCAGCGCGAGTCCCTGCGGGCAAATTTGCGGTGCAAGCAGGCCCATTTCATGATGATACGGGGATGTCCTCGGTTTCTGAAGCACATTGTCCCTGTTGTGCCGTTGTGGGGATTTTGAATTAGCGGACTTCAACTGAATCTTGTGGCTATCAGCCGAATTATCCGTTGCACTTGTTACTTGTTGGAGTTGCCTGCATGGCCCTAAGCCATCCTAAGACTATATAATCACACATAATCACCGACGTAGTCCCCATCGTAAAGGGCGCTGAAGAGGGAAACGTGATTTTGTGATGGCCCCTGATTACCCCCTTGGAGAAGACTGGATTGGATTTCGTGCTGCGAGAAGACGCCATGCATCCCCACAATCCCAAAAGGGAGAACGAATCTCCACTGTTCATGCGGCAGATCGCGCATGCTCTGCAGCTGCGCAGTCGATTGAAGAGCCAGGGCCCTGAAATGCTTTGCAGGTGGCAGGGGATGTGTAATGCGGAAAACTTAGTACGCCCCCAACACGCGAAAGAAGGAGCTTATAGCAGTCAAGGTGTCCTTATTTTGAGAAAGCAACATTTTTCCAGAATCATTGTGGTTCTCCATTAAACGGCTTCATGTCAGGGCAAACTCTCCTTGAATTCTTACGTTGGATGCCCAAGTGACTGGGAACAAATTGCGATGAGCCTGGTGCTAAGGTTGGCGCGGGAGTTCCCAGGTCTCACAAAGGCAGGGGGCCTGGGGTTCCAAGGGGGTGCGTCCTTTTTGCCGCACAAGACAGTTGCACTACGGCAATAGTCATGCATTTGCGGAAGCCTCATCAGAACTCATCCAGGGGAGTTGCTTTGTTAAACGTTTGAGCGTTGTACTGTAGGAGCGTTGTACTGCTACAGTGAATTTACAGCGCCTAGTGACACAGCCAGTGGTGCACAGCAACTGAACAACCTCCAAGATCTTCATGCCCAGAGCTGTTTCATCGTGTCCTTGAAGTTTCCCGCACCAGCAGTTACGAGTTTGCATGCCTCCCTTCGTGCCACAGGAATTTCTTGACAACCCTGTGTAAATCTTTCAAAGCCATATGCGATTCGAAAAATACCCGATCCTAAGGCAATCCAAACATATACCTTCCTCTTCCTGCATGTGGGCGCCAGGAAAGGCTGGTATGGCTTTGCTTCGACTTGACATTCCAGGACCCTGCAGCGCGCATAAATCTCTCCAGCGGTGAGCTTCAGGGCCATAATATAAGTATATAAAATAGTAAAAGTCATAACAGTAGTAGTCATAGTAATAATTGTGCTAATAGTAATATGCCGCCTTCAGAGATGCCTGGTGCCTCTTGAGAGACCCATTCCCTCGTCCATCAAAGGGCACGTGGGATGTCCTAGCCGTTTGGCTGAGGGTCTCCTTTCTGATACGGGGGGTCATCTCAGGCTAGTATTTGCTGCGTTTATGTATCGCCACAACCCTTAATACACTTGCAAGTATGAAAGTCGCATCAAATCATTTCAGCCATCGAGTCTTGAGGCTTCCGGTCAATATGGTAGTTTCCATAACAGAAATACTATTACTGTACTATGACTCTTATTATCGCGAGACCCTAAATTTTGGAAAGCCCCATACAAAGAGAGTTGCTGTCCAGGCTCGGGTGCTGCTGATCGGCCTTGGCTTTCCAGAGGCCAAAGAGCTGGGACCCTGAACAGCGGGGCTCGGGCTTCGGGATGTAGGACTTCAGGTTGAGGGTTTGGGACTTAGAGGCTTGCTAGTGCAGAGGCAGAGATGAGATTCTTTGGCATCAGAGTTCGGTCCAGTTGATTAACTTTTCCGGGATGCTGCTATGGCCTGTTTGCTGCTCCCATCCTGCGCTGTCCAAGGCCCATTCCTTGCAGGAACATCTAAACTCAATGGGCCATCTCGCAAGCTAGCCAAGCTTCCAAGTAAATACCCCAAAATTCAAGACGCTTCAGGTTTCATATTTAGACTGGAGCCTCTCAGATGTAAGGCCGTCACGTGCAAGAAGGAAGCCAGGGCTCTGCTGGTGCTCGCATTGCTCGCCCATGAAACCTTCGAAACTCAAGAACTTCACCTAAGATTTCGGAGCGCTGGGCTGGGGAGGGTTTGTGAAGGTCTCTGGAAAGACCCTTGAGAGGGTTTTGGGAGGTTCCTGGAAGGCTCCTGCCTTCCTCCCAGTCCTTGGAGGCTTTTTATTCTCAGGCGTTGCTTCGTTGTTTGCGGCGTGAAAATCTCGAAGAATACTATGGAAGGGAGCAGTTCGAAGTTGAGGGCGCAGGTTGCATCCGTCGAGTCGAGGTTGAAGGCTCAGGTTTGGGGTTTTGAATTTGGAAGGTCTGAATGCAGGATTCTTTTCGGAGCTGCTTCGTTCCTTGCAGCTATTCAACCCCAAGTCTTTTCTATATTGTCTAAACTCCTGAACTGAAGTGATTTAGGAGACTATTTGGGGCTTATGAAGGGGGATGCTAGGAGTTTTTTACTATAGCTCATGTAGCCCGTGAAGAATGCTTGAATAGCCTAGGCTTCTGGTGGTCAAGAAGCTTCTGCACAATGACTTGCAGATCGAAGCTTCCTGGGCCACACCCCTGGCACCGCAACAATAGCTACCACATTGAATGGTCTCTCAACAATTACTGGATGGACCTTATTGTTGGTTTTGGAATATTTGAGCAGTGATTCTTGAACGGGAGCTGATCTTGGGATGAGAGGTGGACATGCCAGAAGAGGCGAGTGTCCCGTGGGTTCTATTACAGTGACAGAGTGGATGTACGTTCCCGGTGTCACGGGCTCTGCTGCCGCTTTGGCTCCTGCTCCTGCTAATCCTCCTGCTGCGGCGGCTGCTGTCATTGCGAATGTTCTTGTATCTCGTACTGTTGGCCTTGCTGTTGTCGCTCCACTCTTACCCCCTGCTTTTGTTGATATTGCCACGGGTCACGATTCACTCTACCTGTGGTGCATTCCCCTTTCATGCTTCTCTTGCGTTTACCACTTGCTACTTGCTATCATCACGTCTGCTTCCCAGCCCTCAACAAGCGAAAGCAGAAGCAGTGGCAGCAGCGGCAGCAGCGGCAGCAGCAGCAGCAGCAGCATCACAAGCAAGCAAGGATCATCCTGCGATCCGAGTGGATAGTAATTGAAAAGGGTTGCGGCAGTCACCATGCTATGAAAAGTGCTTCTACAAATGTAAGCTGGAACACAAGTAGTTGCAGTCACTGTTCAGGCCTTGGGACTGGCAGTGAGCCAACTGATCAGCCGTGAGCTCCCGGCCTAGAGAAATTGGAGTGACATGTTCCTGAATTGAGGAGGACACGCAATATTTGACGTATTGTCTTTCTTGGTCATGGATGCACATGCCTTTATGCTCTGACGCTTGATCAAGACGTGGCGGTTATGCGGTCGGGAATAAAGGGGTAGCCTAGGAGGGACTCACCCATCAAAGCCCTTGCTTTACTCCAGCAAGGCCAACTGCAGGAGATTCAACCACTAGGCTTGCAGGCGACCCTTTCCAGTTTCCACACGATGATACACTTACTGGCAATCCTGGTCCCTGCGTGCATTTGCTGTCCGCGCCTCTCTCAGCTGCGTTTAGTGTAGGATGCTGCCCTGTGGGGGCGCGGCGCTCCAGAATCATCACTGCGCAGATCTCCAGCCAACTTTCACATAGTTTGGGGTCAGCATCAGAAGTGCTTAGGAGCTAGAGGAGAACGGTATTGAACCATTCTGAAGCCAAGTTGCAGACCAGCTAGGAACGAGGTATATTTGGCCCCCATCCCCTACTCCATGATGGCAGCCTGGCCCACGGGGGGCGGGGCAACCTGCGATAGCCGACATGGGCTGCTGGTAATTATCTTATACTAGCCCAGAAGCCCTAATTTTCAAGCCCAGCCCAACCTGGCTAAAGACAACATCAGCCACCTGACAGTAGCTTCCCTGCTGTGGCCACTGCCCGGTCCGGGTTGCCACGAGGGCTTGCGAGGCCAGTGTCAGTCCTGAAAGCAGAAGCAGCAACAGTGGTTTGATGCAGATGCGTCCGCTGACTGTTTCTTTAGCCATGCAACAGTGCCAGAGCAGCTCATGGTGGGCAGGCTTTTCCGTCACCATGTCCATCACGATGGACCGGCCCAGGATATCCTCCATCGAACAGGATATCCTGGGTGCCTATGGGAGGCCACCCTTAGGAAACAGCAAGCTGAGCGTGCAGCTGCCAGCTTTCATGTTGACAGGTATCCGTTGGTAGTTAAGATCCCGCTGGCAGAGATGAATGGCGGTACTATCGGGTGCTTGGGTTGCACATGGGCGCCTGCTGAGTGGCGTTTTGGCCTGTCTAGGCCACATTTTTAGATGTTCAGCTGCATGCAGGAAGGAATGCCTGAAAGCTGCAACATAAAAGTTTTGCAGTCAGGTTCCGGTACACCCAGTACCTCATCGAGGTGGACGACTGTGGAAAGGTCTACACGAGAGCACGCAGGCAAGCCAAGCTGTACGCTTCAAAAAGATGCCAAAAGAGTTTGATCCTCTAAAATCTAAAACTCCTGTTTTTTTTTTTTTAAAACACTTTTTGAAGCCAAGTTTTCGCTGGAGTTATCTTCTTGCCTATCTCCGGGGCCCTGAGCTTACCATGAAGGTACACTATGTTCGCATGGCTCCACGCAGAGCTTCGACGGAGGGAACTGGCGTGCGCACTGCCCGGGACCCCAAAGTGATTCACAGCAACAGGAAGAAGGGGTGAGTCCAAAGGCCAACTCAGAACCTCCTTTGTTCCAGCCGCTACTTCAGCAGAGTTTCTACAGTGTTCACTATGAAGCTACGGAGCCCTAGAATTCCCCGGCACTCCCTACATATCCTACGTCCGCACAGGTCCCCTTCTCTGCAAAACACATCTAAAGGAAAACATGAATCTCAGAGAGAAGGCCAGAGCTCCCGCCGAAAAAGCTCTTTGGCAACAGGGAGCAGGTGGAGCACGGCTTCCCATTGGGGTCCCTTCAAACGGCGCTAAGCATGATTGTTGAAATCATCAGTCACAGTAGTACTCACAAGCCATTTTGAATTTCTAGTGGTACAGCGGCAGCCCCATCAATCATCGGCAATTCGAGTACTGACTTCCGGGAACATGCCTGTCTAATTCATCGGCCGCGGCCAGATGGGGTGGTCTTCAATTTGAAATGCGATTCAGCGGCCGCTGTTGAGAAGTGTGGTTATGTAGCAGTCTCTCGTTAGATTCCTTTGGGTTGGAGTTGTAGTCCAGTGGCTTTTCATAACCTGTCCGATTGCATAGCTGCGGCCTATGTATTGCAACAGACATGGATTCTGCGATGCGGGCTGGAAACTAGCAAGCCACTGTGTGCTGAGATGGGCCGGAATCGAAAGCAGATGAAGCTGTTAATCTCCACATGTTGCGTATGCTGGCTTGGGACCCGTTCTGATTTGCAAGCTGCCATCTGAATCTGTCTCTAGCCTTCAGCCGGTCATCAACAGTTCCTGCCGGCACCTTTGACACGTTTGCCAGACCTTCGTGGATCGACGGCGGCAAATGCTTGAGGAGCTCTCATACCCAAATTGTGGCAGTTGTTCATATGACGGCTCTAGACTAGAGCACTTTCAGAGTAAAACAGTCATCGCAGTGCCAGACATTACAATTCAAAACCTGAGAGCAGCTAGAATACTTTGGATATGGGAGGACTACCTGAGAGCCTTGCTGATGCTGCCAGCCGTCATCCAGGCCGTGCTGTTGCAAACCTTCGTGCAGCCCTCACAGGGCAGCAGGTATGAGGCCTCCAACATGTGGGAGTTTCCCAGAATTGAGGGTACCTTTTTGTTGGGTCCTTCTAATAGGGATTGTAGTACATTGGGGTCTCTATGGGGGTCCCCTTAATTTGGGAAACTACCATGTACCAGCGCAGGATGGAATGATCTGGGCCTTCCTAGACGCAGACGAAGCCACAGCCGTGGTGCCAAGGCGAGGAAACATTCGCAGCTTTCACTTCACAGGGGGTAGGGGTAATTGCATAGTGGATATACAGGGGTTATCTTGGGAAAATGGAAAAGAAAATGGAAACTACTATCTAGGGGCGCCAAAACCAACAAGTCATCTTGAAATTCAATATGAGCTACAGTCTAAACTTCTTAAAGGGGGTTATAAAAGGGATGATATAGGGGACTACTATAGCGGTTATTCAGGGGTATACTAGGAGTTTAGACTGTGGATTCAACAGGTGCAAACTTCGCCTGCAGGTTTCTATGTCGACAACCGACTCATGCTGCGGCCGATAAGTGCCTCAGTGCCACTTGGCAATATCAACAGCAGGAACATGAGATTATTACCAGATAGGTATTACATAGGGTAATATAGCAATAACGGAAAATGAGATGGAAACTACAGGGATGATAGGAACTATATACAGTAACCGGGGAAATGGCCGAGCTCCAATCCGCAAACTTCACAAATCTAACCTGATCCTGATAAGTCAGGTCAGCATATGATCCCCCTGGCGTTTTGGAAATAGATATTCCTGGCTTCTTGCATAATCCCTGGAGGCCATAGATTTCGTGAGATCGCGTAGAGTAGACTTCTTGTTGACGCAAAGCTGCAGGCCTTGAAGCGAGCTGTGGCGGACAAAGAGGCGAGTGAAAGAGGATTTCTCCATGCCCCGCAGTATTAATCATCCTCAGCAGAAGGATCATGCTGCACGAGATGCAGTGGTGGTCATGGTTGTGATCATGGTTTTGCATGAAGTGGCAGCAGTAGCGGCAGCAGCTATGCGGCTAATACTACGAGTCTTGGAATGGAAAAGAGCATCGCCAGAATCAAGAAACCATCGGAACTCTGATTACAGCACTATTGGCAATGGTAGCAGCAGCTCATCCTTCAAAGGCTGCGGCAGTTGAATTGCGTGTTCAGCAAAGGAAGCGAACCTACCGCAAACCCATTGTGCAAAGTGTGGCCGCGCTTCACTGCTTGAGTGCGTCAGGCAGCCTGCATGATTTCCATTGGGCCTCCGCCTTTGCAAGCCTGCACAGGTCGAGATTTTCCGCCTTTGCGACCCCTCGGTGCTCGAGGACAAGAGCATTGAACACAAGTTGCTGATACATTGTTCTAATTTCTAGGTACTAAGTACTACCTAGTACTACTATTATTACTAGATTTCTAGGTTGCTAAATTTCGTACAGGTCAGACAGGTTTGGCAGCTGAGTTCTGGGAATGCTGGGATGCAGAGCGAAAGGCATATGACGACACGTACGACGATTCTTAGCGAAGTGCCATGTACCATTGTGCATCACGCGGGAAGCAGGAGTGCCAATAACGAACCTAAGGTAGAAACATTCTGAAAACAAATCCTACCATGTGCCATGAACACTTGAGGAGTTGGCAAACTTTGCTTTGGCAGAGGCATCGGAGGCAAGACCTTGCAGAAACTTGCTTGTGCTTAATTAAGTAAGACAAAGCCAGCCTCCGAACCCTGCGCGGATGCACTTGGGCATCAATCAACTTCATTCCGCACACTAGTCTTCTCTTGTCATTATCATTGCAGAGGCATTTCCCATCGCATTTGGCCTGCCAGGCAGCTTCGTATTCCTCACAGCAGCCGCAGGCGCAGCAGGTACTGCAGGCTCAGCGCCGTACTGCTGGCAGTTTGAGAACAATTTATAAACATCAGCTTGTTGGGTTGCTGGCCTCCAGTGTTCCACCACTAACGTCATCCAATCAGGCTAGCTGTAAACTGTGAATGTATTCCCTGAGAACCTGATGCAGCCACGCGCTCAAGACTGTTGATCCATGAAGCACGCCGCCTTGTAGCTGGCTCGAAGATGACCGCAGCGACCCTCTTTCTTGAGTCAGGTGCGACTCTTCAACAGAATGCGGCTTTGTGCTATTTTGCACGGAGCTTGGACACAGGCGTTGTCGTGTTGCAAGCGCATGCTGTTCAAGGAATGCAGTACAGCCACTGTATGCCCGACGAAGCTTTCTTAAGTAGCTTGTCCACCTGAGTAGTATTTTATTTGGGGATACTATGGTACCCATTACAGAGTAAGATTCTATCCTCCCTTTGGGGTATAGCATTTTATGTAAGGAATATAGTCTTACTAGGTTCAACCACCAAAAACTGCTACTCACCTTAGGATGCGAGTCATTGCTTACGACGCAGCGCGGCAGAATGTCGTGAAATCTGGTTTGCTGGAGCCCCAGCCATGGAAGTGGCTGCTGAGCAAGTCCCAATGTGAAACGTATCACTTTGATGATGCTTACAAGTTGAATCCTATATGGCAAACGTT